CTCCTAATACCTTCGGTAAGCTTACTATCATTACAGTAGGCATACATCTAAATAAACTCACATCGCCTGCAGACTGCGTTAGATCATTTCAATATTTAGTATCGATCGAAAGGAAACTAATTTCCAATAATTTAATCCTACTTATAACAAGCATTTGCATTGGCTTAACAATGTATGCTATCAGCCTATAACGTAAAAAATGACGTCGCCGTTTATAACGTCGCTTTTGATTGGCTGATACAGCGGCGTAATAATTTATAAGAGAAAAGAGTCCATCAATAAAAGTGGATTTCCACATGGATTGTGTATAGTAGATTAAATTATAAGGATTAATTTGAATATATTTTTCATGTTATGGAGCTATAACATAAAAAAAACCAAGTGTACTCTCATCATAAACCGCTTCGTGGTTTATTTAGAGTACACTCCGGGCTTTTTTATATTATATCTCCATAACATGAAAAATATATTCAAGTAAATCCTTAAATGTAAATAAATACGTCACTTACATTGTAGGCTTTCTATTTAGAATTAATGTAGTTGCTATTTTCTAAAAAACAAGGAAGTTCTAACGACTCATTACTTACTTTTCGCAGTACGGCCATCTGCAATTTAGAACCACACGGTTGTAACTAGAAAAATGGTATGTTTCATAAGTAAACATAGAAACAGCACTTAGTTAAACGTCGTAGAAAAGGATTAGTTAAAACGCGTATACCAACTGTTGTATTTGTAAGCGTGTTTACTTTGAATATTTGATATGTTTTAATAAACAATTACAGCGTCTTGTAATGACCCTATCCATGTTATGTCTAATGTCGACAACAGGAGGTGATGTTGCACCTTCCATAACAATATATCTAGAGAATACCGAAGTGTCCACAAAACCCTAACTCGAATTCTATATCGATAATAGTGAGGCAACCTATGGACAAAGGAAATATTCACACGGAGACCCGTGACAAGTAGTAGCAGAATAGGATCAGGTCATTATAGAACGGTTAATACACTGGGGGTATGTGTGGCAGGTTGTACAGTAACAGACATACGTATTATGGGTATTGAAGTACAGATTTACATAGTATAAAAGTTCTGAAACACTTATACGGAGGAAGTTAGTTCAACTGTAAAAAGTAGTGAATTCAGGTCATGATGATATATGAAACTCTAAAAGAAGATGCTCATTATATTAAAGTGGACAGGTAATGGATGGTGGGGGGTCAGAAGGACTCTTAATCACTTCACAAAATATTTGTACACGTCATACAACAACCGGTCGTACATACACTAATACATCACAGAACACAGTGTAGAGGTGACGAAACATATTAGTAGGTCCGGTAATAGGAAATATCATTTATAATTAACGTTTACTTGAACGTGACACTAGTGTAGATACATAGCCATAATAGGACAATTATGTAGCTGATGTAGACACGAGTCAATTGTATATTGTCCCGAGGACGTGATGACTTAGGTCTAGGGCGTTGTCCTCAGTATGTGCTGATACAGATTTAGGATTGTTGTCCTGAGGACGTGATGATTTAGGTCTAGGACGTTGTTCTCAGGGTGTGATGATAAAAATCTAGGATTATGGTCCTGAGGACTGTTGATTTAGGTTTAGGGCGTTGTCCTCATGATGTGCTGATAAAAATTTAGGACTGTTCTCCTTAGGACGTGTTGGTATAGGTCCAGGACGTTGTCCTCGTGATGTGATGATAAAAATCTAGGACTGTTCTCCTTAGGACGTGTTGGTATAGGTATAGGATGTTGTTCTCGGGATGTGATGATAAAATCTAGGATTGTTCTCCGTAGGACGTGTTGGTATAGGTATAGGATGTTGTTCTCAGGATGTGATGATAACAATCTAGGACTGTTCTCCTTAGGACGTGTTGGTATAGGTATAGGATGTTGTTCTCGGGATGTGATGATAAAATCTAGGATTGTTCTCCTTAGGACGTGTTGGTATAGGTATAGGATGTTGTTCTCAGGGTGTGATGATAAAATCTAGGATTGTTCTCCTTAGGACGTGTTGGTATAGGTATAGGATGTTGTTCTCAGGGTGTGATGATAAAATCTAGGATTGTTCTCCTTAGGACGTGTTGGTATAGGTATAGGATGTTGTTCTCAGGGTGTGATGATAAAATCTAGGATTGTTCTCCTTAGGACGTGTTGGTATAGGTATAGGATGTTGTTCTCAGGGTGTGATGATAAAATCTAGGATTGTTCTCCTTAGGACGTGTTGGTATAGGTATAGGATGTTGTTCTCAGGGTGTGATGATAAAATCTAGGATTGTTCTCCTTAGGACGTGTTGGTATAGGTATAGGATGTTGTTCTCAGGGTGTGATGATAAAATCTAGGATTGTTCTCCTTAGGACGTGTTGGTATAGGTATAGGATGTTGTTCTCAGGGTGTGATGATAAAATCTAGGATTGTTCTCCTTAGGACGTGTTGGTATAGGTATAGGATGTTGTTCTCAGGGTGTGATGATAAAATCTAGGATTGTTCTCCTTAGGACGTGTTGGTATAGGTATAGGATGTTGTTCTCAGGGTGTGATGATAAAATCTAGGATTGTTCTCCTTAGGACGTGTTGGTATAGGTATAGGATGTTGTTCTCAGGGTGTGATGATAAAATCTAGGATTGTTCTCCTTAGGACGTGTTGGTATAGGTATAGGATGTTGTTCTCAGGGTGTGATGATAAAATCTAGGATTGTTCTCCTTAGGACGTGTTGGTATAGGTATAGGATGTTGTTCTCAGGGTGTGATGATAAAATCTAGGATTGTTCTCCTTAGGACGTGTTGGTATAGGTATAGGATGTTGTTCTCAGGGTGTGATGATAAAATCTAGGATTGTTCTCCTTAGGACGTGTTGGTATAGGTATAGGATGTTGTTCTCAGGGTGTGATGATAAAATCTAGGATTGTTCTCCTTAGGACGTGTTGGTATAGGTATAGGATGTTGTTCTCAGGGTGTGATGATAAAATCTAGGATTGTTCTCCTTAGGACGTGTTGGTATAGGTATAGGATGTTGTTCTCAGGGTGTGATGATAAAATCTAGGATTGTTCTCCTTAGGACGTGTTGGTATAGGTATAGGATGTTGTTCTCAGGGTGTGATGATAAAATCTAGGATTGTTCTCCTTAGGACGTGTTGGTATAGGTATAGGATGTTGTTCTCAGGGTGTGATGATAAAATCTAGGATTGTTCTCCTTAGGACGTGTTGGTATAGGTATAGGATGTTGTTCTCAGGGTGTGATGATAAAATCTAGGATTGTTCTCCTTAGGACGTGTTGGTATAGGTATAGGATGTTGTTCTCAGGGTGTGATGATAAAATCTAGGATTGTTCTCCTTAGGACGTGTTGGTATAGGTATAGGATGTTGTTCTCAGGGTGTGATGATAAAATCTAGGATTGTTCTCCTTAGGACGTGTTGGTATAGGTATAGGATGTTGTTCTCAGGGTGTGATGATAAAATCTAGGATTGTTCTCCTTAGGACGTGTTGGTATAGGTATAGGATGTTGTTCTCAGGGTGTGATGATAAAATCTAGGATTGTTCTCCTTAGGACGTGTTGGTATAGGTATAGGATGTTGTTCTCAGGGTGTGATGATAAAATCTAGGATTGTTCTCCTTAGGACGTGTTGGTATAGGTATAGGATGTTGTTCTCAGGGTGTGATGATAAAATCTAGGATTGTTCTCCTTAGGACGTGTTGGTATAGGTATAGGATGTTGTTCTCAGGGTGTGATGATAAAATCTAGGATTGTTCTCCTTAGGACGTGTTGGTATAGGTATAGGATGTTGTTCTCAGGGTGTGATGATAAAATCTAGGATTGTTCTCCTTAGGACGTGTTGGTATAGGTATAGGATGTTGTTCTCAGGGTGTGATGATAACAATCTAGGATTGTTCTCCGTAGGACGTGTTGGTATAGGTATAGGATGTTGTTCTCAGGGTGTGATGATAAAATCTAGGATTGTTGTATGAACATCCATTAGTAATGAGTTAATATCGGCATTGTGAATTTTGTGTTGTTCATCCATAAATAATTTACTATTTTTACATCTTCAAAAATCGCTTAATCGTTTTCGAAAAAATGCAGGTAGCATCTATGGCCAAATACAGACAACGTTTATATACAGACATTTGAAAAGCACATGACCTTATTGCATGGGACCGTCCTGAGATGCTCAAACTGTTAATGTCATCACACCAGTGTCATCATTGACTAAGTCCAGTTTGCTATATGATGTATTGGTATTACTTTGTATTCTTCAATATTATATATATCAGATTTACACCTATTGTTTCCTCACCACACACAGAAGATAAGCGAGTACATTGTTAGGGACGTATATTTGACCCCCCGTGTCGACAACAACATATCGTGATCCTTATCGTCGGTTTACATACATTTAGGTCACGTTTTCCATGTGATATGTGAGCCCACCAAACATGTAACTTCCAATGCTTGGCGACGTTATACCGTACAATGTTGTAAACATGATGTTCCGCCGGTTCTAGGCCTGTCGCGTGCATGGTTTGTGAATGTAAATTCTTTGGATGCACTTCCCACGCCATCAGACTCGTGTTTTAACGATATTTGATCCACTCCCGATAGACATTTGTTAGGAACCTCCATTTCACTTCTGTACACTCCCAATAGACAGCCAGCATTCGATAGGGAACCTCCATTTCTCTTCTGTACACTCCCAATAGACAGCCAGCATTAGATAGGGAACCTCCATTTCTCTACTGTAGGCTCCTAATAGACAGCCAGCATTCGATAGGGAACCTCCATTTCTCTTCTGTAGGCTCCCAATAGACAGCCAGCATTAGATAGGGAACCTCCATTTTTCTTCTGTAGGCTCCCAATAGACAGCCAGCATATAGATAGGGAACCTCCATTTCTCTTCTGTAGGCTAGGAGTTCAACATAATAACATCCTGCTATGTCGTACCAATATGTCCATTGTCTAACTGTTAACTTTTTTTTATTACAGGTTTAACTCTTATATTTCAAGGTAAAGGTATGTATGCTGCTCTGTCATATTGCACGGTCATTTTGAAAACTTCTAAATGATAATGTTACTTCAAACAATAAACACTTTCGAATGTTAGAAATCGATTAAAAATCTTAAATGCTTCATTTTGATTGAACTGGAAACGAGTCATATCTTAAACTGTATTGTATGGGGGCGTAGCGATAACACAGAAGACACTAAGACTAGTTTGCAATAGAAATGTATTAAATCACACACCCCAAAGCTATGTCTGATCTACCATGAGTTGAATAGCACCCATATGGCAATTGATAATCTAGAACATGATCAAAATTCGGACCATTGCGAAGTTGAGTAGACGGTGCCTCTATTAGGTGTCCTTACACGACGCCTAGTTGTACACTGGAACAGTTCAATCACACTGTGTGTATCCCCTCATTGATGCTCGCTGCGCTATCATCAGGACAAACAGGAGGGATAAATATAAGGTGCGATAACTTGTTTCAAAGTTTTTTGTTAAAGCAAAAACGATTATACAAACTGTGTTCATCTGTACATCTATTTTGTCCAAAAAACACAGATTGATTGTCGATAAAATCATCGTTGCTTTATCATAGGGTTGGTATCCGCTCAACATGGCGCCAGCACAGCACCCACGACTGCCGAGATGGAGTTTGAAGCGGAAGAAATGACGACGACGACTGCAATGCCATCAACATCATCGACGACGACAAAGGCGCCAGCCATAGCCCACAAACGTCCGGCCGTGATAGGGGAGCAGTGCCCCACGTACCGGTACACCGTGTCGGAGGACAAGGTCGAGTTCCATACGATGCCTGGACAGTGCAAAATGTTAGTATATTGAAATAAATTGTTCATAATTTAGAAGTTAGAAACCTGGGATATGTATACTTTCTTTTGCTGTGGTGATTATTACTGTTTTATTAATATATGAGATTATCTCCCTTTACTTGTAATATAATATGTTATTGTTATTTTTACATATGTTTGTCGCAATAATAGCTCTCAAGAGCTAATGTTCATTGTTTACCCGTATGCGACGTTAAATAAAGTTTCTTGTATCTTGTAAGTTAATTTAGAATAGAATATAGTTACAAAGTCAATAAAAACTAATAAGGAGGTTATGTTGTAGTTTCCCTGTCTGTACAGTAACCTTTATTTTTGTGACCCACTGCTTGGGTATTTCCTCCAATGCTCATCGCCATGTTCGTAGTGTAAACAAGTTATCGTTGAGGTATCTTATTTACTACTCTCGGATCAATCATGTCGTAAACACATGTATGCAACTTATATAAGCTGGTCGTTTATTAATCTAAGCGATGATATATGCGTAAAGTATCGAAAAAAATAAGTTGAACACCATTTTGACAAAAGAATATGCAATATTATACAATTATGGTCTTCAGGTGAGGTCTATCCCTGATTTACGGACCTGGTCTGAACAATATTCACAGAGGCCGAAGATTCAATTCATGTGATATTTAATTTCAAGTAAATATTATTTGAACAATTATTTGAATTGTAGTTGAATTCAGTAGTGTGAGTGGTAACATATTTAAAGACTGTCTGGGAAATTACCACGGACTGTTTTTTGTAGCGGTCTTTAACACGTTTCTATATATAGGTCGAGGTCTGTAACACTTTTCTATTTATGGAAAGAGGTCTGTAACATATTTACAGACTCGTCACGTGACGTCGCTCCTCCAATCAGGGCTGGGAATTAGCACCAGTCATATAATATTGGTGTTTGAACTCATTTGTACGATACATACCAAAACACCAATGAATAAGCTTTACTATTGGACACGCCTTTGAAGATACTTCTAATACAACTTTGAAACTACTGTAATGTTAAAATGATAAATGTATACTGTGACGCAATTTGGTTTTTTTGGCTGAATAATTTGCGGATAAACATAAATCTCATATTAATGTTTCATAGTTTCAGGATTTGATATAAATTGAAATATTGTTAAAAAACTATGGTGAGTTCAAATAAACACCTTTAACTGGGTTTCGATATGTACGGCATGTACCATTTACAAATGAGTGAAACTCGAACCCTGCGCGAGATGAACGCTACCTGCCGAGTAAAGACATCCCAGTAGTAGGTGTTCTATTATAACATAATGATATACACGTTCGCCTTATTGGTCGATGTCGCCTTACATTCCGTATGTTATTGTCGCACATTCTGAAGTATATACCGTGTACATAAACGTCTGTATATAATTTATTGTTACTTCGTGAGTAGATGATAGTTATGTGCCTGGTTACCTGATTGGCGATTGGGTCAAATCGTCTATCATTGCTACTGCCTGTGAACGGTTAATACATAAATGGTTGACAGTGCAATAATATGTGTATACTTACATACATCTTACATCCCATAGCAAACAAACGTACAGTATCACCATACTTGACTGACCTGGAGGGAGTGCAGCGACAATGCTTACAGTAGTCGTGTCTACTGACAGTTATTTTTTTTTGTATTTTTTTTTTTTTGTAACTTAGAATTTTATTCAGATTTTTCAAACACATACGCATGAAAAATAATGAGATACAAGTCTGTAAATTATGACAGGAAAAGATGGATAATTGTACAGAACACTCATCTTACAGATTTCATACTACTCTTCTCACTACATGTCATAAATATAAACTTATTACACAGCCTTTGCCTGACTGACATTCATCATTAAACCATATACCCATTTTGCTTGTACCCATTCGTACATACAAAATACTTATGACCATGCGATGTGTTTTTATGAGAGAGAGAGAGAGAGAGATGGCACTATTTCCTATCTAAAGTTCTATTTATTAGCAAGATTGAAGCAGTAAATATTAGCAGCTGATTAATTTTGAAAGAAATCAGCAAGCACTGTACGGCATTGAAGAGAAGAGAGCTAGACTATAAAATTACAACGCGGTAAAGTTTCCCCATTTTTTCCAATCTTTTTCAAAAAAATCCTGGCAGCTTCCCCATTGCTGTTAGCAATAAAGTTTTGCAAGTCGTAAAATTGTTTTAATGCATTAATAAGTCCATTGATGTTGAGGGAGTTGTGAAAGCATCGCATTTTGTAAATATACTGTTTTATAACAAGGAGAATTTCATTATCAACTTTGCAGTTATTGAAATTTTGAGATAAAAATCCAAAAATATAGGATTGTTTATTGTAATTAAATGGGATGAAAAGAGCATCTAGTAGAATTCTTAGACTATCTAGTAAATTCTGGACTTCTTGACATTCCCACAGGATATGTATAATAGTTTCATTTTCAGAGTTACATACAGTACAGAGAGGAGAAATAACTAGATGTGTTTTAAAGAGAAAAGAGTTTGTGGTTAAAATATGGTGATTTACTCTGTACTGAAACCATTGGAGTTTGGTGTTTTTTGTAATACTGAAGGGAATCTTGTATATTTGAGCCCATGTTGAATCATTCAAGTCAAAGACTTTGTTCCACTTCTTTTTACCTGTTGGTACAGTATTATTTTTTATAAAAATATTATAGAAATCTTTCGAGCCTTTTATGTTTTTCAGGAATAATTCAATGTTCATTGGTAAAATAGGATATGGGAGTTTTAGTTTAGGGATTTCATTTGAAGATATAAAATTTCTCACTGCTGACAAAATGCTATGATACTGGAGGAAATTTGTTTTTACCCGATATTCGTGAATAATTTCCTGGAAACTGTGAAAGCTTCCAGTATTCTGATCTGTTATTAAGTCATTTAAAGTTATAATATTTTTGTCATAAAAATTCTTAAAAAATAATGATTTCTGACCAACAGCTATATTTCTGTTAAACCATAATAGTGTTTTTAATATAGAATCCTTCATAAGACTATATTTTTCAATTAATAAATTCAAACGGTACCAAGCTTTGAAAACATCAACCTAGAAAGAATTTCTACACTTTTTTAGACATTTTTGCACAAAATCATTGCCACAGTTGGCTAGTAGATCTATGTTAACCTAACTTTTTAAAATAACTTTCCATTTAGCTGTGGTCTGAAAAAGCCTTCTGATCCAAGATAGTTTTAATGAATCTATAAATGCTTTTAAATTAATCATTTTTTGGGCACCGTTAAGGTATTCTTGGATGATAAGTTCTCTTTTGACTTTGTCTGTTTTGCTGTTCCACAAAAATTCAAAAATAATAGAATTAAGTTTTGAAAGAAATTGTTCATCAGGATTTGGCAGTGCTATAAATAGATGGTTGAATTGTGAAACGAGAAGTGATTTAATAATATGGATTCTACCAATTGGAGTTAAATTTCTTCTTGTCCAGGTTTTTATCAATGACTTCGATTTTATCATTTTTTTTTTCTATTTGTTGCAAGGACATACGCTGTTACTGTATATTTCGTGTATATTTCCTCATTGTATATTTTACAGCTATACACTTCAAATAAAAATTAACTTGTCAAAACAGAAAAGTGTGTAATAGTGGAGCTAAAAAGGAGTTTCAGATTACATACGGCAGTTAACCATTGTTTTAGCGAAAATGTGATTAACATTTGATTAATTTGTGGTAGACAAATTGGTATGATATGTATAGACTCATTGCTATATCATTTTGTAGACACACTGGTATTATTTCGGTAGACATACTGATATAATGAAAGTAGGAAAATTGGTATATTATTGGTAGAAACATTGCTATCATTTTGTGGATACGCTGGTATAATGAAGGTAGACACATTGGTATATTATTGGTAGAAACATTGTTTTCTCCCACCCTTCACAGGTGTGTCTCCCGTTTTAGTCGGGAAAGATCAGCTTGTCATCCCCTAGGGAGAGATAGCCTCGTGCCTATAAGCACGTGTTCAATTGTGACGTCATTAAAATGCATCACCGGTAATTGTGACGTCATCAAAAGTGAATGACGATTTTCACACCCCACATGTATTTTTGTTTTCACCACTGTCGGTTGAGTTGTGACTGAAATAATAGGATTGGAGAAAAGCAAGCATCCCCTATCTTGAGAGTAGACAGAGAAATCTCCAACCGTCAGGGTGATTAGTTTGGTTGTCTAACCCTCGGCAGAGTCTCTGGTTAGATAACCAAAAAACATCACCCCTCGGGTTGGAGATTTCACTATCACACCCTCAAGGTAGGGGAAGATTCTATTAATCATTTCGGTAGACATACTGGTATCATTTCGGTAGACATACTGATATCATTTAGGTAGACATACTGGTATCATTTCGGTAGACATACTGGTATCATTTCGGTAGACATACTGGTATCATTTCGGTAGACATACTGGTATCATTTCGGTAGACATACTGGTATCATTTCGGTAGACATACTGGTATCATTTCGGTAGACATACTGGTATCATTTCGGTAGACATACTGGTATCATTTCGGTAGACATACTGGTATCATTTCGGTAGACATACTGGTATCATTTCGGTAGACATACTGGTATCATTTCGGTAGACATACTGGTATAATGAAGATAAACCCATTGGTATAATACTAGGAAACAAAATTAATTGACAATTGTAACATACTAACCGTTTTAAAATCACTATAATGTTCTTTCGAAATCTCATATAATAACCCCACACTTCGTGATTCCTGTATTATTTTACTCATAAACGAGACTGATTGATCTATTACAGTGTTGTCCAGTTCCCTCCAGCTCGACAAGGGAGGTAAGTTAAAAAGGCAAATTGTTTATTAAGCGTGTATTGCATCAACCTACAGTTTTCTTCTGAGATAAAAACAAATGTTTTTTTTCTCCATGTGATTGCAGAGAGTTAAACTTTCACCAAGAACAGAACACTTCCTAATTTAATAACTTAGTACATAGACAATCAATCAATTGTTATCTGATCTCACACCATAGACAAAAAATCGTAAAAAATAATAATTGTTTGTTTGTTTGTATTTCAAACTATCTGAGATCAGCATTATTTTTCATTTATGCTGCTACAATTATATGAATATTAGTTAACATTCCAATTTGCAATATTTACAAATAATAATATCTTTAACGAACGTGATATATTTTAATACCGTATCGTGTTATATGTGTTTATTACGTTTCGTGTCTTTTTCAGTGGTTTCGGTTACGCCGGTAAACGAGGGTAAGTATCTGGACTACTGCCTCATATCCTGTTATAGACTTTATCGAAATGAGAACTATTCGAAATACATAGGTATCCTCCTTTTTTAATATCCAATAGATCAGATAAACATTTCAGCGTTGAGATATGAGAAAGCTACCATCAACTTGTGTTAACCACATATTATATCATGACAAACTCATGGTAACATAGTGACGTTCTGTGTATCGCGTTTAAAAGTCGATTGTGAAACACAACGATTCCTACATATTAAATAGAGTTACTGTAATTATAAACATTTAAAAGATTGAGATAATATAAAAAAACAAACACATAAAAGACAAAATGAAATGAAATATATGTTTATTATTGACAGACCACCGAGAGTACAGTACATGGCAAAACTCCCTTGAAATTATCACCAATTGTACAACGATCATCAACGAAAGATAGGAACACGGAGAAGAAGGTCCCATCGACATCCTACCCCGATGCGCATGCGTTTATACCAGACCTGTACTTCCGATCACAACCTCTACGCCAGAGTATGATTTACACGTCATAATGATGTAATATTGAGAATTCTGATTTGTTATATGTACAAACCATACATCATAAATAAACTGGATTTTTTTTTAAGTTTTGTAATTTGCCTCCTTTTTTGATATATTCGTCACTTTCTTTGTTGGTCTTTCTTTACGCTCAACTTCCAACGCAAACAGGTTAATAGGTTTGTGTCACCTTTTCTCAGTAGAATTTCTTCAAATTTTGTAGCTATATTGCTTTGAAGTAAAGAAAATGTTCTGCCACCAAAAAAATATAGGTTGTTAGAATTTTAAGGATATTAAATGGAAATTTGTGTAAAAAGGAGTGAATTTTGAAACAAAAAATGTCAATAAAAATGATACTGACATAGATTATTATTGCATTAATGTATATCAATTTAATAAATGCTGAAATTGTGTAAAATAAATTATCGATAAACGATTAAAAATTGACATTTTATAATAAAACCATACATACACATAGTATTTGCATGTAAGAGTTATCTTTCTTCAAAAACTTCACAGTAGTGAAATAGGTAGCCGGTTTCCTGAAGTACAGGAAAATGGACACATGTGATTGACTCATTGATAAAAAAAACTGAATTGCTTTGAAAGACTTTAACTGAGAAGGTTAAGATTAAAAATACAGAAACAAGGTTACAACACTAATATCTACTACAAAACACCAGCACTTATATAATAACAGATAATAACAGATAAAAATATCGATGCCGTCAGAGCACAAATATCCGTATACTCCCTGATCCTGTACCCATGAACCGTTCACTTGCTCAAATGCGAGTTACAAAAAGTTCGCTTGATCTCAGAGCGCATGCTTAAGAATAGTTGTATGTATCCATGGATAAGTTTTTATAAACCTTTCCTTCGTACATTTAGCTGATCAATTCGAATTCAACAAAATAAAACACTATTTTTAAGTTATTCAGTCATCTCTTTTTCATCAGTTCACCACCAAATGATTCCGAATGTCATCATAATTGATGGAATAACAAAACCAAAAGTACTAAGCGATGTTTCCGAGGAACACACCATGGATAGACAATTCTAGCTGAGGGACTTGGATACGTATGTCCGTAATGTATTTGGTTTAGTGATAGAAATACATATACATATATCTTATATATTAGTATTGTTTAGATTGTGTCTATAAGGACGGTGAAAGATAACAAAACAAAAACATTCTGTTTTAAGCTGAAATTACTGTCGATATTCACAGACAACATTAACGCACAAAACCAAAGGAGATTCACCAACCAGTGAAAACGTATTATACGCATGTGATACAAGTACAACAGCGAGCATGTTAACTTACTAAAAGTGACACATGTAAACCAGTGAAAATGGTACAATACCAAATGAGACACATGTCAAACAGTGAAAACGGTACAATACCAAATGTGACACATGTCAACCAGTGAAAACGTACAATACCGAATGTGACACATGTCAAACAGTGAAAACGGTACAATACCAAATGTGACACATGTCAACCAGTGAAAACGGTACAATACCGAATGTGACACATGTCAACCAGTGAAAACGTAAAATACCAAATGTGACACATGTCAAACATGGAAACGGTACAATACCAAATGTGGCGCATGTCAAACAGAAACATTGCTACGACACCACAGGTGACACATGTTAAACAGACATAAAAAACGTAGCAGCACCAAATGTGACACATGTCAAGAAAGGAAAATGGTTCAATACAAAATGTGACACATGTCTAACAGTGAAAACGGTACAATACCAAATGTGACACATGTCAAACAGAAAAATTGCTACGACACCACAGGTGACACATGTCAAACAGACAAAAAAAGTAGCAATACCAAATGTGACACCTGTCAAGAAAGGAAAATGGTTCAATACAAAATGTGACACATGTCTAACAGTGAAAACGGTACAATACAAAATATGACACATGTCATACAGTGAAAACAATAATATACCACATGAGACACATGTCATACAGTGAAAACAATAATATACCACACAAGACACATGTCATACAGTGAAAACAATAATATACCACACAAGACACATGTCATACAGTGAAAACAATAATATACCACACAAGACACATGTCATACAGTGAAAACAATAATATACCACACAAGACACATGTCATACAGTGAAAACAATAATATACCACACAAGACACATGTCATACAGTGAAAACAATAATATACCACACAAGACACATGTCATACAGTGAAAACAATAATATACCACACAAGACACATGTCATACAGTGAAAACAATAATATACCACACAAGACACATGTCATACAGTGAAAACAATAATATACCACACAAGACACATGTCATACAGTGAAAACAATAATATACCACACAAGACACATGTCATACAGTGAAAACAATAATATACCACACAAGACACATGTCATACAGTGAAAACAATAATATACCACACAAGACACATGTCATACAGTGAAAACAATAATATACCACACAAGACACATGTCATACAGTGAAAACAATAATATACCACACAAGACACATGTCATACAGTGAAAACAATAATATACCACACAAGACACATGTCATACAGTGAAAACAATAATATACCACACAAGACACATGTCATACAGTGAAAACAATAATATACCACACAAGACACATGTCATACAGTGAAAACAATAATATACCACACAAGACACATGTCATACAGTGAAAACAATAATATACCACACAAGACACATGTCATACAGTGAAAACAATAATATACCACACAAGACACATGTCATACAGTGAAAACAATAATATACCACACAAGACACATGTCATACAGTGAAAACAATAATATACCACACAAGACACATGTGATGCCTGTTATGATGTCTTCTGGTATAAGCAGTAACGTACATTGGTCACACGTGATCTACAACAGTTTGAATATGTCTTTAAGACTTGAGAAAACAAATCAATTTTCTCGATCAAGGCCCTGTGTAATCGATTTTAACCAATGGACGACGTTTCCATCAGAAGCGGATCTCATAGTATTTTACCTTCCAAAAATATAAAACTCATTTAGTCACTTCATATATATAACACTTAAGTTATAGATCAGATACAAAGTGAATATACACCACAAGGCCCTATATTAATTAGTCACATATGTATTTCTGTTGCTCGTTTGATTGAGCACATTTATCATCCAGCTTCCACTGGCCAGCAAGCTTCCACATCGCTAGAACGTCAGTGTTTCCACTACGTTGATCTGGCTGGAAATTTTTCAAGTCAACCAATTTTCCTGTGGACCATATCCATTTCCTATCTGACGTTCGCAGGTACCCTCCTACCCAAAAATACATTTCACCTGTAACTCAAGAAAAAATGAATTACCAAATATACAGTCAAACTCGGTTCACAGTAAACCATAAACAAGAAAGAACAGTAAACAATAGAAAATAGTAAACAAAGAACAGCAACTTACACGGCACTACTTCAAATAGGGGTAACAGCAAATAAGGGTTTACAGGAAGTAAGGGCTTACAGCAATTAAAGACTTACAACAAGTAAGGGCTTACAGCAAGTAAGGGCTTAAAACAAGTAAGGGCTTACAGCAAGTAAGGGCTTACAGCAAGTAAGGGCTTACAGCAAGTGCGAGAAATAAAACAATTACCTGTAACTGAGCGAGATCGGGTTATCTCAGTCTCGGGTCTAAGTTTCTGTAACACTCCAACCACTGCTAACTCTTCAGGTTTTATTATGTTATAGAATCCTAGCCCTCAACTGAAATAATCATACCTCGCTCAATTGCTTTATTATTTATGTATCATTACTTATCCTTGTGTGACATGTCCATTATTGTGTATCAAGACTTTTCCAGGTATGATATATCCTTTAATATTAATATTTTTATTTTATTCTTATTTTTTAAAAGCATGATTTTCCTTGATGCGATACATCTTTTATTGTGTAGCATGACTTTTCCTGGTGTAAGTCATGTTTTATTATGTAGGTTGGCTTTTCCTGGTGTAAGTCATGATTTATTGTGTAGCTTGGCTTTTCCTGGTGTAAGTCATGTTTTATTGTGTAGCATGGCTTTTCCTGGTGTAAGTCATGTTTTATTGTGTGTTATGGTTCCTGGTGAAAGTCATGCTTTATTGAGTAGCATGGCTTTTCCTGCTGTAAGTCATGTTTTAATGTGTATCATGGCTTTTCCTGGTGTAAGTTATTTTTTATGTGTATAATGGCTTTTCCTGGTGTAAGTCATGTTTTATTGTGTAGCATGGCTTTTCCTGGTGTAAGTCAGGTTTTATTGTGTATCATGGCTTGTCCTGGTGTAAGTCACGCTTTATTGTGTAGCCTGGCTTTTCCTGGTGTAAGTCATGTTTTATTGTGTATCATGGCTTTTCCTGGTGTAAGCCATGACACACAATAACACATGACTTACACCAGGAAAAGCCATGATACACAATAAAACATGACGTACACCAGGAAAAGTCATGCTACACAATAAAGCATGACTTTTCCTGGTGTAAGTCAGGTTTTATTGTGTATCATGGCTTGGCCTGGTGTAAGTCACGCTTTATTGTGTAGCCTGGCTTTTCCTGGGGTAAGTCATGTTTTATTGTGTATCATGACTTTTCCTGGTGTAAGTCATGCTTTATTGTGTAGCATGACTTTTGCTGGTGTAAGTCATGTTTTATTGTGTGTCATGGCTTTTCCTGGTGTAAGCCATGCTTTATTGTGTAGCATGGCTTTTCCTGGTGTAAGTCATGTGTTATTGTGTGTCATGGCTTTTCCTGGTGTAAGTCATGCTTTATTGTGTATCATGCCTTTTCCTGGTGTAAGTCATGCTTTATTGTGTAGCATGGCTGTTCCTGGTGTAAGTCATGCTTTATTGTGTATCATGGGTTTTCCTGATGTGCTTTATTGTGCATTATGGCTTTTCCTGGGGTAAGTCATGTTTTATTGTGTATCATGGCTTTTCCTGGGGTAAGGCATGCTTTATTGTGCATTATGGCTTTTCCTGGGGTAAGTCATGTTTTATTGTGTATCATGGCTTTTCCTGGTGTAAGTCATGCTTTATTGTGCATT